GCCTCGTGCACAGGGCGGCACGTGTGTCTTGTGTCGCGTAGTGAGTGCCCGCGTGGCAATGTGTGCCTCGCAGAAGAATAGTGGGCGCCCCCATCGAGTTCTACACTTTCATACAGACACACACACTCGCGTGCCAGCAGCACCTCAGCCTAGCACCACCATTACGGATATAATCACGACGAACGAAGTCGACGCAAACAAAGCGGCGGCAACAATGGCTGTGTCAGGCCGTGAAATATTATTAGGCACATGCGTTCGCTTATCATTTGCATCTATACCGTATCCTCTCGTCCAACGCAGCGCAGCTTTCTGCCCAGAGTCCCTTTCATCGCTACCGAATGAGTTATCCGTATCAAGTCGTGTCTCCTCACGTATACGGGTCAGCACTGGTGGGCACACGTCCATGCGTCGCGGGCACAGGATGCGGCCGCGCGTAAATGGCGTTCCTGGAGTGATGTGTGCACCTTCCGGGCACAAGTGCCACGTGTCGTTGCCAAGGTACCGCACATACACCGCTCCATCACCGCACAGCACCTCCGCGCACACATCGCCAATGCGCTGGCCGTCCATCCGCAGCGCCACACTCTTCAGACACGCCGATTTTGGTCCAATACGACTGCCCACCATTACCGAGGGCTCACCATTGGCACAGTCGCTATTCAGGAAAGGGACGATGACAGGGCAAAAATTCATCAGCAAGTCCTCTTTCCCTCCAACATTAGGCTCCGTGAAGTACTGAAACTCGAAGGGAAGCGGGTCTGCGTACTCCACAATCGGACAGTGCCCCAACGCGCGGCGGTCGGAGGTGCAGCTCAATGCGTCGGTCTGTTTTCTGCAGAACATATCCGGGTGCGAGGTGACGCCGTCTGTCAAGCACTTGTCGTCCAGCAGTGAGCAGCCGGCCTTGTGGCCCCAGCTCATTGGCTCCTCCATCCCCCATTGCGCGCGATACACACCCATATCCTCAAAGGCTGACATGGTCAGCGCTGTGTAGTAACCAACGCCAACAATAGGACTCATCAGCTCGTCCTTCGCGTTGCGTCTTTCCCAATGGGAGTGCGCTGTCTCCGCATCGCCCTCGTCTTCCAGCTCCATGCCCGCGAGGGTGTTGCAGCCGTAGTGCTCTCTTGCTTTGGCACGCGTTCTCTCCGACGACACCACAAATGTATTGTTTTTACCACGAATGCCTGAAACGTTGGTTATCATTCCCTTCCTCTCAATCATCTCGTAGCCAAATCCAAGCGCGTGCGCAATCTCGTGAGAAACCGACCGTACGATCTCTCTTTCCCCGCCAATGAATCTAGGGGAGAAGTTGATCACCCCGACAACCGGACGCCCATCCGGCAACTCAACGCACGCACTGGCCCACGCAACAACAGAATCTTCTGTGGGACCAGCAGCAACGTACAACACCATGTCGGCACCAGAGACGCCCTCTGTACGGTGGGAAGAGGGAACCGTGAAATGACTGCAAATCCCCTTGGTCAACTTCGGGAATTTCATAGCGCCCGTGACAGGCTGAACAAGGAGACGGTCTGTGTGCAACTTGATCGCTTCCGGAAGGAGAACACGAGCAAGTGTCACCACTTTCACTCTCGTAAGTACGTCTTCCTCTTCGCACCGCAGCATCTTCCCAGTGAAGTCCGGACGTGAATCTCCCTCNTGTGGGACCAGCAGCAACGTACAACACCATGTCGGCACCAGAGACGCCCTCTGTACGGTGGGAAGAGGGAACCGTGAAATGACTGCAAAACCCCTCATTGAATGCCGGAACTTTCATAGCGCCCGTGACAGGCTGAACAAGGAGACGGTCGGTGTGCAACTTGATCGCTTCCGGAAGGAGAACACGAGCAAGTGTCACCACTTTCACTCTCGTAAGTACGTCTTCCTCTTCGCACCGCAGCATCTTCCCAGTGAAGTCCGGACGTGAATCTCCCTCCTTAGTGCAGTACTTATGGACAAATTTAAGGTCCTCCGTAAACGTTTTAAACCGGATCGGTTCCCACTCGGGCGAGGCTGCGGTGTAAGTCTGCCACGCGCCCTGTCCGCCCTTGGGCAACTCCTGCACCACCGCAATGGGAAGGTCCCCTTGCTTCGCCGCAATCTTACCAAACGTACAACGGTGCTCGGCGAGAACGGGGCAGACACCACCGTACCAGACACACAGCAGCACACAGAGTACGGCACCGCGCACCGAATTGGACATCTTGCTTTGTACACGCATGTGGTGTCACCTCACTAGGGGGCGTGCAGGGCAATGAGAAACAAATGAGTGCCGGCAAAGTGCGGTGGCAGAGGGGCGATGAGAGCGGAAGACACATGCCCCAGCAAGTCAGCAGGGCGTCCACGCATTCAACACTCAAGAAAGCAACGATGCCGAGCACCTGCGCACTCACACCACCATTGGGCAAGAAGCCGCAGGGGATCAAGAGCACACACAGAACACACCAACAAAGGGATGGAGAGTAGACAACATCAACTCAAAGCAGCAACCGGTAAGGGCACCACTCCACCACAGCATGAGAAATGAACAGACCACCCGCCTCCGCCAACCAAACGACTCCAACAAATATCGGACTGACATCGCGCACCTCAGCTGGCGCACCACAACTCGGTGAGGCACACTGACCACACCACCACTCGGAGTACGTGTCACTGCCAGTAATACAAGCCACATCTTCTCGACCCACAGGCAACACAGGTTGCTGTGCATCCCTTACAACGGCAGCCACCAACAACAAAGCCGCGGAGCCTCACGGGAAAGCAGGCATNGAGTACGTGTCACTGCCAGTAATACAAGCCACATCTTCTCGACCCACAGGCAACACAGGTTGCTGTGCATCCCTTACAACGGCAGCCACCAACAACAAAGCCGCGGAGCCTCACGGGAAAGCAGGCATCGCCAAAGCCTCCGTGTAGGCGGCGTGGGCACACCACCCGCAGAGCGAGAGGAGGAGCACCAAGAGAAGCGGGCCGCGCAGGGAGCGGGACGACATGCTGCTGCTGCTGCTCATGATGATGATCGTAGAATGGCACGACAGTGACTGGGCAGCTGAGACAAAGAGTGGCTAGAGTAGGAGAGAGAGAGAGAGANGCGGGACGACATGCTGCTGCTGCTCATGATGATGATCGTAGAATGGCACGACAGTGACTGGGCAGCTGAGACAAAGAGTGGCTAGAGTAGGAGAGAGAGAGAGAGAGAGAAAAGACGGGCGGAGTAAGAGAACCACGAAACACACATCAGCGAAGCGCCAGCGAAAAACATCACCCGCACTCCCAGGCCGCAGCGGTGTGAGCCAACGCAGTCAAGAGTAAAGCAAAGAACCACAGAAATGCACGTGTCTTCCCGCCATCGTCGTCCTCGACCAGCGTCAGTCGTGAACGGCAACAACAAGGAACAGTGCGAGTAAACGGGGTAGGTTCAATCCATTTCCACCAACCTGTACATGGTCGGAGGTGGAGCTGGTGCATCCGTTGTACGTGTGCGGGGGCAGAAGCACTGGCCGGCGGGCACAATACGTACACGGAACGCACGCGCAAAGAGAGGGGTGCGACGAAGACTTAAAATAAAAAGGTGGGCAGGAGTAGGGAGGGGCGAAGCGGCGCGAGGTCCCTGGACAAGCAGCCACGCTGGCTGCACACTGACCGCCACGCCGTGACCAAGAGGATATGTCTATCAGCGAAAGAAAGTGGGCGGGGGTTCCGTCATGCGTGGACGACATCAGCGACTCCACGGGCGGAATACATGCTCGCAGTGCGTACGGAGCCCCCACCGCCGCGGCATGTCTCCTGTAGGAGTGCTTGCCTGCCTGCCTCGTGCACAGGGCGGCACGTGTGTCTTGTGTCGCGTAGTGAGTGCCCGCGTGGCAATGTGTGCCTCGCAGAAGAATAGTGGGCGCCCCCATCGAGTTCTACACTTTCATACAGACACACACACTCGCGTGCCAGCAGCACCTCAGCCTAGCACCACCATTACGGATATAATCACGACGAACGAAGTCGACGCAAACAAAGCGGCGGCAACAATGGCTGCGGATAAAAATGAATTCCTGATGAACGTAACCCCTTCAAAGGGTTAATCCCACTTGCCAACAAAAAAAAACATAGAAACCGTTTGCACCTTACTGCTCATAATCACATGACCAACGTGTTAGCCGTATCAAGTCGTGTCTCCTAACGTATACGGGTCAGCACTGGTGGGCACACGTCCATGCGTCGCGGGCACAGGATGCGGC